CGTTTCGGGGATTCTCAGAATCAGCACGAAGTACAGCATGCAACAGCTCCGGAACAAATGCATCAGTATTATCCAGGAAAAGTTCCCGTCGACGCTGCGCGGTTGTGACGAGGTGCTGACTCGCGGGATCCAGTACGTGCCCTCCGAGATAGTGCGTATCATCCCACTGGCCAGAGAAACGACCGTGCCCAAGGTCTTGCCATGGGCGTTCTACCTCTGCGCGCACATCTCCGTCGACGAGATCCTCACGAACACCGTCCTATCCTGGCGCGACAAGGCTTTATGTCTGGCGGGGAAGGAGAGGCTATGGTCGATGCAGAAGACCAGACCCACGGATTCCTCCTGATTTCAAGCAGAGTCCGCAGTGCCAATCGTCGTGCCAGACGCGCGTGTCGCGCAGCAGCCTGAGGCTCGAGAACATCGAGACGCTGCGCATAAGCCCGCACCCGCTCGAGGAGTACACCGATTGGAAGAGCCTCATGCTGTGCCCCAAGTGCCATCTATGGCGGAGATGCAGCACCGGGACGGGCGCGAAAGGGTGTGGCAGATGTTGCCCGGGTTGTTTCACCTTGGGACGTGGGATGATATATGCAAGGACCAAAATTGTTGAAACGCTGCGGGAATCTCCATTGTTTTTTTCTTCTTGTTTCCTTCAACGTGAGTAATCCTGTCTTTTTTTGGTGGGATCGACTAGATGGAAATTTGTGCTGATGAGGATAGATGATCTTTGATGCATCAGACTCTGGACCTGATTTTCAAGGGCTTAACCGAACTGCAGTCGTCTGCAGTTGCTCTATTTTGTGGTGATATTCTGATATCATTATGGCTGAATAGCCTCTGTTGCGCTGATGAACACGAATAACGGTGCTTCCCAAATGATGTATTATGTTCTAAATCGTTGATGACTAACGTATAATGTACTTGCTCGTTCTTGCCTGTTTTTCTGTCTGCTCGTGCTGTTCGTTGTTTTCGGGATATGTTCATAGAAGTATAAGTAGATACACTAGGATTGCAACGTATACTTTAGCTTGCATGTAAATTAGTTGTAATGCGTCGGTTGTAGTACACCTCAATGCTTAAATCGGGACGATGAAGATGAAGATCTACCATTTGCTTTGCTCCCCAACAATGAGAACCGAATCTCCCCATTGATCTCCAAGGCCAAAAATTGAATTGAGTATTTAATATTCTTTCACTCAAGATATCATCCTATAGGCCCCATCAAGGTGCCACTCCGCATTTTTCAAGCATGAGGCGCTCATTCTGGCAATAGGCGCTCAGTGGCGCAAGCGCTACTTCCAGTAACTTCCAGTGCTTGAAGTATGTGTTCCATGAGTGACTATGAGAAATATACTAGGGACTGCAAACTTGGGAGCCTGATATCGGTATTTTCCCAAATGCGCGGGGACCGGTGATTGTCTCCTTTACATATAATGTACATGCCTTTTTCTCTTTCTGCTTCTATGTACTTGAGTCATTGCGTGTATATTCCAGCACCCTCCGCTACACCTCCTCTGAATAGGTCCGAATGATACCAGGGCTCTTCTGAATCCGATGTTCTGTATTAGTGCGGAATGACATATTCACAGTCTCCATCGTAGCAGTTGTTCAGTTGCATCCCCGGGCTTGATAAAGTAGATTAGTATTAGCTCCATCGCATGAGCAGCCGGAGAGCATCTTACCAGGCGATCAATTGTGACTGTCGTGTGAGCTAGTTTCTCACTGAGGAATTCTCTTGAATTTAAGCTATAGTGGATGATTATATTAGATCAGTTGCGAGTTTCAAAAAACGTTGGATTAGGCTGCCATACATTGCAAAAAAAGCATTAAAGTATGCTGGATAGTGAACATGAATGAGTGAGTTAATGGGTTGCTTAGATAGAAAAACGGGCCAGAGCTTCTTACATTTTCCTGAGAGGAATGAAATCCCTCCATAGACAGTGGCTTTTGGAAGAGTTAGGAACTGAGAAATCGGATGATTAGACTTATGATTAACACATGAGAAGGTAATCTCACTGTTACAAGCGAGGAGATGGATAAGATCCTTTAATCATGAATGTCGTGTTAGGGTCAACCAAAAAAAAAAAGAATAGATGCTACGTTGAGAGAAGGTTTGAATTGACAGCGAAGAGCATTATAATAACCATGACATGCTTCGTACTGTAGATATAGATTAGTTTCCTCTACCTAATTTAGAAAATATGCCAAATATATACCTTCTGATATTAGTTGAGCACGACGAAGAGTGAGCACTGTCGTCCACATCTTCAACAGCGCATCGTAAGGGTTATGTGGCTCACTACTTACTCATAGCTACAGTCATAATCACATCGAAAGCAACTTGGCTTGTCGTAGCGAGTTTGAATGCGAGCTTGATATAAATTGGTCTTTACAATTTGCAGTGAAATAAAAATACACTCACAATAAATTGGGGAGTGTTTTCTGTTAATAGACGGTGATTGAATCCTGCAATTGCCGTATCTTGCAAAAAATGTGATGAGGTATTCGGCTTCAATATGCTCTTAATCGCCTCGTACCTATATTGGTACCTGAGAAAATATCGATAAGGACATTCCGACTCTTCTTATCAACGAGAAGCGTACCAAAGCTCAAAAGTGCCAATGAGACCTAACAACCTTATCTTAGCGTCGAATTAGGTTGCAGAAAGTTATGATTTTCACCGTCAGCATCAAAAAAGCAATGCGATATGCCAGGGTAAAGGCAACTCCGCTGAATATCCAAATACGCCAGCAAAAGAATCTATACGACACAGGTTAACAGAAGGCGTAGCAAGTAAGCGACTGATGGATGAAAAACTCACAGCTGGATGAGAACAGTAGTAATGTCCTATGCGAATGTTAGCAAGACGTAGAATCCACAGCCAAAATACAGACCAGTATTAGAGATTGCGCCTTTAGTGATCGATTTTTAGTCAACATCTTGACTTGTTGAATTAGATGATTCGTTCGAACGTACATAAGTGAAGCTACAAGGAATGAGTAATATATCAAAGAAGCGAATCATTCGCGCCTACATTTTACCACTCCCAGCACCACCAGTTGGAAGCGCAAGAGGGTTCAGGTAGTCAGTGACCAGAAAGCGGTAGATGGCTGCAGTCATCGTAAGTTGATGTGCAGATTCTAGAGCCTAACACCACAAGTTGAGATGAGCAGATGAGCGTCCACAAGATTGTCTTTATGCACTACACTTACACTGAAAGGAATCGTCAATCTCAGTCGGATGATTAATGGACAAAAAATGCATAGGTCTCACAAAAGCAGATAAACAAAGAGTTTAAGCCATAGTTTATCTATCTGTGTCCGGTTCGCTGTTACATAGATGAATACTTGGAGGACGGCCACGCCGTATAGACTGATTTGAACATATCGTCAGTAGAGCTTGATTGTTCGTAATAAATACATCCTTACATTGTAGCAAGGCTATAGCCTATAAAGAGGGCCCCCAGCGTATTGTCGAAAGCCGGAACCTTAACACTGGGGCCAGTGGGTGGAAGTGAAGACATTGAGACAAAGGCGATACGTGTGCGTTAGTACGCGGAGTGTAGGGCGCCACATAGTTCGATGACCACGATTAAGTATGAAAATTCAACGCTTTCAAATGAGACCGTAAACTTCGGACATAGAATATACGTCTATAAGCGTTCCCGCCGGAGGAGGGGAGGCCTTCCTTCCGTAGCCAGATGCGATGATATTTCTGCACTGGAAGATTATGGAGGAGTTCCCTTCGTTTCAATTTCAGTCGCACATGAGATCATACAGTAGTAGATAACAACTATCATTTACGCACCTGTACAAGACTGCTTACACCTGAGGATACTTGAATATTCATATTGCCGCTCGTCGCTTAAATCTCCACTCCAAGTTGACACCAATGGCTATATCATCGGTACCACAAGAAGCCATACTCGCGGGCGCTGTGGCGTTCCATAAAAATCGCCTGCATCGTGTCGTCGGAGAATATCAGAACCCATCTGGATGATCTTGCTCTCGAAATGCTCAAGCCTCAAGGGGGCTAGCTGAGGCGATCCACGGCGAGATTCAAGAAATTGCATCCAAAGCCAGCACCAAGCCAGCACAAGATGACTGACGAGCGAATCTGCTAAAAGACCAATAAGTAACATAAGCATTGGGCGCCTTCAGCCCTTGGAGATCTGGAATTTGTGGCATCGTGGTGATGGTAGAGAGTTGAGTCGGAGCAATGGATTCAACAAGGAACGATACTGTCAACGCGTGGGATGTCGGCGGGACGTACCTCCGGAATCTGTCAATAGCAGCCCCCAATCAGAGCGCCCAGGAGCGCCTCCAAATTCCTAAAGGCTAACAGCATACCCGGTTACTTATATGGCGTCCATCATACTTATCAATCCTTCCAACTGGAATCCTCGGGCCATGTCGATCTTTACTTTTTCAATGCTATTGTTTTCTACACATTCGGCTCTACACTCACCATCGGCGGTCCATCGCCTTATTTGTCTACGGTCACGACTGTCTTACTATTACTTAGTACCAAACTGGCGTCAAAATGGGCGGCGCTGCTCCATTGGAGGTCTTCGACCCGATCAAGGACCTCCCAAGTATGAAGGGCAAGGTATGTCCATAGACCCGCTGTCGATGCAACTCTCACCCGACCCGTGCACGAGCAGCAGTGGCATAGGTTACGCCAGCTTGCAGCACCTCTCGCGGATGGGCGCCAATGTTCCAGCTTCAGGCCATGTTAATTTAGCGCCCAACTGACTGATGCCAGGTTTGGAAGGCCTATAAAGCCGTCCCACATGAAGAGCGCACGCAAAAAGCGCTCGAACGTGCAGAAAGGGAGGGTCGCGAGCCAGGCTCGGGGACGTGCTATGGTACGAACTCGATCTCACGGAGCGGTACTACTGCTCGACGCGCCTTGGACGCACGCTGCAAATAGCGCGAGCTGTGCGATATGAATAACTAGAGAGGTATCTAATATCCTTCCCAGTGGTACATATTACCATGTCGGGTATGGTGTAACGGCTAACATTGCCGCCTCTCATGTTGTGTACACGTATGGCGATGTCTTAACGAGAGTTCCGCGGCAGCTCGGGGTTCGATTCCCCGTACCCGAATTTTTTGTGTGGATTAGGCTGACCCCGACTGTGTTCGACTCGAGTCCGACTCGTCACTAGCACTCTCGAGTCTCGACAGCAACAGCAAGCGGCAAACGGAACCTCGTCGACTCTCCAGACGCCCGATTCCTGCCAAGAAACCCCTAGCTTTTTTGTCGTTTGATTTATCTTATCAGGATACTGAGAATCGAGATGTAGTCCCGCGCAGAAAATGATCTCTGAAAAACCCTAATGCGCAGGAAATATCATAATGCAATGCCAGCGAGTTGTGACCGTCGTGCGCAGACATCTACATGACCTCATCTACTCTACAGTCCGCATTGCCCTCCGCCCCGCCACCCAGCGCCACAAAATCCTGGGCGATGCCCTCCCGATCCATAACTTCCGGGCGATGCCCTCCCGATCCATAACTCCTGGGCGATGCCCTACCGATCCATAAAAATCCCCGGAGGTCCCTCATCTCCAGCAAATGGACGCCCGCCTCCTCGAGCTCCGCCTCGATCTCGGCCTCGATGCGCCACGCAGGCGTGACGCCGCCGCCGTGCAGCACCTCGATCCTATCATACGTCGCGTGCGCCCGCGGATGAGCAGCACCTCGTTCCCCCTTGCCAACGCATTGCTGCACGTCGCGCGGATGCTGTAGTCCGTCTGGAACCCCGCCACCACGATCTCCGCGGTGGGGGGCACGACGTCCCCGAGCGCCGTGCCGGCGAAGGCGTTGTTCTTGCGCTTGTCGACGACGAGCTCGCCCGCGCGCGGCGCGAAGATGAGCTCCCAGCCGGGCGTGTGGGCTCGTCCGCGTCGCCCGCGTCGCCGCTGTTGCGCACGTGCACGATGAGCGGCGGGGGCGCGCGGCGCGCGCTTGTGTGAGGATGGCCGCGAGGTGCGTGCGCACGGCCGCGGAGGCGGGGACGCCGATCGGGGGCGGGTCGAGCATGGCAACCTGGATGTCGAGGAGCAGGAGCACGCGGTGCGGCTGGGGCTTGTGTGGTGCGGTGCTGGGCGGTGCTGGGGCGGCCGGGGCATCTGTGTCGGAGACTGGCGTGCCGGTGGAGGCGTCCACGGAGGAGGAGGAGGCGTTAGGGGTGGACATAGGGGCTTGCGGAAGTAGTTAGCGTAGATAGCGGGGCATACTGTATGCAATCAGGGCAGACAGGAACCGATGGCTCACCACAGACTTGGGATGGACGTGGATGGAGTGAAGATCGTAGAATAGGCCTGCCCCAGCACGCTGATGTGGGTGCAGCACTGGCGATGGCGCAGAGCAGAGCGAGGTGCGAGGCCGGGTGAGGCAGAATCACAGCAGAGGTCAGCACCTTCACAAGCCTCGGCCGCACGACGTCATCGACAACCCTGCTGCCTGACCGCTGCCCGGATGCCACGAGTCGCGCATGTGGAACGTCATAGAAAGTCGCGGAAAGAATGGGGGCTCTGCCTCGTAGCGCACACAGTGCTCACTTTTGTATCTGTCCCGACGCCCCATTTGTCAAGGCGACCACTAGTTTCTCACTGGATGCACAGCTGGGGTTCAAATATGGAGCACTGAGTGGCGTGATGTCATTTTTGCGTCGCCTCCTCCTTTGCCCGATAAAAAGATACGGATATCACGATCGATTTCAATATAAAGAGGAGCTAGATCTTATGGTACGAAAGTAACCAGGAAGACACAAGTCAGATCTACGATGTGCGCAAGTTGTATTTGAATCGCGACCTCAGACAACATTGAGTCTTGACAGTCGCTGCGCAATGGATCTGATGACCTGGCGGCCTGGCAAATCACTCTCAAGTCTCAAAAAATGACTTGAGGCTTGTCCAGACTCCAGGTCCTGCAAGCCTTCCTCCGAACTCGACCCAGTGGTTCTTGTATTCCCGCCCAAAAATCTGTCCAGTTCTTACAATTGTCAAAAAATTCGGGTACGGGGAATCGAACCCCGAGCTGCCGCGGAACTCGCAAACGAAATAGAACATTACATGAGAGGCGGCAATGTTAGCCGTTACACCATACCCGATGCTACATGCTGCGGCTTCAAGCTTTCAAGGTTTCAAAATTTCAAGTTCCGTGTACACCATTACGGGCTATTGAATGATGCTCATGGATTTGCTGTCACTGCATGCATGGGACGGAGACCGCAAAACGTCAAAGAGCAGTAACAAGCATTTTCCACAACGCAGCTGTGCCGTTCTTGAGCCCGTCAAACCCTGGGCCCTGCTACCATGTCAAAACATCGTTCGTGTCCAGGCGCTTCAAGTCTCTGTGATTGCTGATCATTATTTCATCTAGTTTTCATCCTTTTTCATTCACATGACCACTGTACTTACCCTCACACATCAATCCATCTTCACAAATGTCCAATGCAGAACCTTCGACTGCCGCTCGCACTATAAAAGAGACTTGTCTTAGGGTTGAGACATCCAAGACCCTCGTTGACAATGTCGTCGAAGGACACGTCCCCTTCAGCGATGTGACATGTCCTCCAGAAGCTCCAAGACCTCGGAGCTACAGCTGAGGAAGGCGGTCCCGGGCTGTGCATGTACGAGATGAAGAAACGTAAAGCAAAGGAAGGCCGCCGATTCTTCAGCTTGGGCCATGCTCCAGGCCATAACCCGCCAGCTCAAATCCGGCCATACAGAGGTATGTAAGTAACCGAAACATAATTGTATTCAAAACACCGATTAATCTATGTGTGAGGAACTGAAATGAACTTGTGTAGGCGTCGAAACATATTATTGACCGCGCAGCGCTCACCCCCGCATTCATGCGTTGCGTCAGCGTGCGTCGATGCGCGTATTGCGAGCGCATTTGATGCGCTAACACTACCGTACCGTTGCTATGATTTAATTACGAGCTTCCGTTTTTGGAGGGTTCACTCCATGAGAACGACGTCCAGGATCAAAGGATCTGACACTTCTTGCGTTCTAAACAGGGGCAAAATATCAGTCGATCAAAAATGACTCTGCAAGTATTCACTGTGCAGTGTTGGTGGCACCGTGGTGGGCCTGTCTCGCGGCTCGGCGTTTCCTGCAAAGGGATAAGGGCACCCATACCAATCTCTATACTTACATAGCGCGATCAGCTTGTACTCTTGTTTCTTTGATCCTGCACTTCAATAAGTCGGGCATCCATAGTAAGTAGCAGGTACCTTCTTTCATCCGCACCGCGGCCTGGTGCACAGGCGCTTTTCTCTTTGCATGTTCAAACCGATCATTGGCGCTTATCTCGAGTGCTATTTATAGCTCTGGGTATCATTCGGTGGGGGCTTCTGCAGATGAACCAGGTGAAGAACGTTTTCGTTGATGCGGCGATTACATGAGCTTCCGTTTTGGGGGGTATCCTCCAGTGGCATGAGAACGATGTCCAAGTTCGCATGATCTGACGCCTCTTGTTTCAACATTCAACGTTACCAACTTCGCAATGATCTCTTCGACTGCTAGTATGCCAGTCCTTTTACCCAACATTTACCGAAACGATGAACCGCTTACTTGCTGAAGGTCCTGATGCAGACTTGCAACCTTCAAGTGCCCCGAATCTCGACGTCAACGCAGCAGACCCTTGGGAGTCTAGCTCGGATGAATCAGACAATGAAACTCTAATTGTGATCCATTTCTTGAAGGTACTTTCCCCTGAATCACCTCATAACGATCCGCATCATCGTGGAATTCAGAGCTCGAGAACAATGTGCGCTTGCACGTCTTCAATGAGATGCCGATCGCCTCTTGCTACTTCCCGAGATGAAGCTCATCGAAAGAGGCGCCGTGGTTCGGTACATATGAGCTCGATCCCAATCAGATCCCAAACTGAATTCGACGCCTTTCTCGACGCCGAAACGAAGAAGGATCCATCCATTCATGCGGATGGCCAGACCAAAAGCGATTAATTACTTGATACAGACATATGCACGCTACGCCATTCTATCCCATACGTGGCTCCAGAAAAAGCCTGAAATAGTCTTTGAAGATGCTAGGATCCAAGAAGCTGGCGAGCAATTCAAGCCAAGCGGGGTGCAGCCTATGGAAAGCTGGAAGGATTCTGTAATATCGCCAAAGAGGAGTTCGGAGTGTCACTTGCGTGGATGGACACGATCTGCATCAATAAAGACAGCACCTCGGAGCTCGAAGATCCATCCGTTCTATGTATCGCTGTACCCTATCCATCTGCGTCATCTACCGCTAATACCATCCTTGGCTGATATGCACCTTGATCGCTGGTTCACGCGGGGTTGGACTCTGCAAGAACTCCTCGCGCCGAAGAAGATCAAGTTTTACAACAAGCTCTGGGATAGTTTGACGACATCGGAGAACGACAAGATAATGTCGTCTTCCTCCGGCAGAATGATGAGGCAGAAGCGTCGATTTTGCAAATAATCCACAGACCACTGGAATTGCACCTGAGGAGTTACTGGATTTCCAACCTGGCGTCATGGACCATGGGATTGCCTCGCGAATGGTATGGGCGGCCAAGCGAATTACTACGCGTGGCGAGGACCGCGCCTACTCTCTAAGGGGGTGTTCAACGTCAGTTTCTCCATCGCATATGGTGAAGGCGCTCAGCGCGCCTTCTTCCGTCTCCTCGAGGCGATCCTCACTGCATTTAGCAACCCCTTGGACATACTGAACTGGCCGCCCTCCTTCGACTCTGCAGATACACGCTTCGCGCATGCTGCCTTCGAGTCCGGAGAGCTACCTCAATCACAGCCCTGACCTGGAGCTATCGAAGGTCGTCCCCGAAAGCCCATGATCCTCACCCATATCGGACTTGAAATCAAGCTGTTGTTTATATACGCCCAACCCGTCTTCCATTCAAGTCCGGCGCCGACACAACTGGTTCCATCCATCCTCACGGGGAGATTTTGTAGCTTCAAATCTCGTTGGCGTCCGAGCCAGTCTTTCTCGGTCCCTTATCCTATCACTATATTCCTGCATCGTGTCTATGGCCCACCTTCCAGACACTGCTTTCTATTGGTCTTTATGGCTTTCACGACTCCGAGACGTCCAACCGTTTGACCATCCCAATGACATGTCCCGCCTTTTTATTCTCGCTTTCTACCGCTGCTCTGTGCAATCCAAACAGTACGGTGAAAGAATTACTCTCCAAAAACACACTCAAACCCCATTTCAAAGCTGATACACAGGCGCCAATTCTGCTCCCGTTAAAACCAACGAGCCACGAGGGCGGTCCTTGTATAATTCAGGAAAGGTCGAAGGTATTGAATGATAATGCAGTTTGTATCAGTGCATACCTATAGTAGCATTCCCCAAGTGAACAGAGGCGTCTAATTGATGAACATATACTTATGCGGTCCTGCCACTGTAGGACATGGCTTGCAGCTTCAACACGTTTTTCTACCTAGAATCTGAAATCATGGAACCACGACCGTTGTTGATTTACTTATTTTATGAAGGCACCGTCGAATATTCTTGACGCCCATCTCATCCCGACCAATGAAGAGAGCTGAAATGAGTTATATTGCATTCAAGCGGCTGAACAAAGTAGTCTGGTTAATGACAGGACATTGCTGAGAGTTAATGGTTCATCGCCTACGAGGCAATATACACATCAACTCTAACCACCTCCCTCAGCCTCTAGCATGGTTGATTAGTTGCATCGTAGATCATAGATTGAGCGGTGTCGGTCGCCGTCGGGTTTGTACCATCTGGGGGACGGGTGATGCTGCAGGAGCAGGCGGAGCAAGTATTTTCTGCTTGGATGTCGAGCCGAAGAGCGCTTTGAAATCTGATGCGATCGTCATTGTGATAATAACATCGCGTCACAAATAAAACGGAGCACGCACTTATGCAGCCGCAGAACAGGCTGGGTGGCTTCTCCTCCTCTGCTTGCTCCTGATTGACGACGCCGATCGGGAAGTTCTTGTGCACGCTGTCTGCGCTGTACAGACTCAGGCTCGATGTATCGCTGGGCGTCGGACTCGACGGGCGCCGCTCCGACATTTCGTGTGTCGCGCCGGGCTGCGGCTGGTGGGCGGATGGTGCGGATTATCGAGATTCAACGGTGCGGGGGCTGGGACCCGGGCGCTGCGCACCGGCCAGCGGGCGACGCGCCTCGGGGGGAAAGGGCACCCTCGTCTCTGAAGGGCCTTTCGGTTGGACAGGCCGCTCAGGGGTAACGGGGTACGAGGGAATCTGGAATGCCATGTGCGGCGCCAGCGGAGGAAGCCCATAGGAGGAAGGCCTAGAGGCGACGGGCACCGTGGCGAGTAGGGCTGGCGTGGCCGGGCGAGGGCACAGCCCGGGCCGACATGATACGAGTCGTTAAGGTCGTAATGGTCGTTAAACGGTGAGGGAGAGCTTTCGAGGTGGTTTGGCTTGTCGAACCAGCGAACAAGTTGAGTGAGGCGGAAAGCGATCAGCGCTGCGTTTTATAGGAATCACCGCGCACAGCTTTTTTCGCTGGAAATCTCGGAGGACGTCGGTCTCATCAATTTCTCATGGCCCTGTTTTGGCTAAAATGAGGCCGGAGGTTGCTTGGAGACCGTCGGAGGGCCGGCTAGCACTGCCAGTTGAGTATACTTAGGAGTACTCCTCAGGATGTGTGGAACGTACACAGCTGAGAGTTACAGTCTATTATTTGTGGTTTGTGTGTGAACTCCGCGCAGAAAACAAGTCAATCAAGATCACTCATACCAATGCCCCTAAAGCAAGCTATCGCGCAGAGAGGTAAACAAAATCATCATGCAGAAAAGTATCAAGGAATCAATTGCCGGAAGGTCAAACTAATCCTAGCCTCTTTCACCTTGGTTCCCTATAAATATTCTGTTCAGGGTGAAAATCAAGAGGAGGATAAAGATGACAATACTTGGGAATTTCGTGCTTCCAATACCTTTGAGTTTCGCCCTGCATTACGACTAAAGATCCAGGCTCGAGTATCCAGCTTTTACGCTCGACAAAGCCGTCTTCGCGATCGGATCTTCAATCTGGGCAGTTTTTGACACCTTCCTACGTTTTTGTGATTTCTGAACGATGGGCGGTGATGACGAGTGATTGGAAGGCTCTG